ATGAAGGGAGCTTTGAGTCTCAAAAGCTTCTGCCCCGGGAATCCTGTTGGCCTTTTAGATGCTGCTGGACTCAAACTGTGCCTTCCTCTCAGCCTGCCTGACATTCTGTGGCCAGCGTACGGGAGGCTTCACTTAGGCCTACCCATTTTCGGCAAAGAGCATAACATTCCCCAGGTAGATTCCCAAAATATTTGATCAGCCCAGGCTGGCCCGATCTTGTCAGGTCCCAGAAACTAAGCAGGGTTGGCCCTGGCTAGTATTTGGACGGGAGACCTCGAAGGATCAGTGTTCCCTCTCAGCTGAGTTAGTGTGAGCTAGCTCACAGTTTTTGAGTTTCTGGCTCACAAATTTTTGTCTTAGCTCCAGAAGGATGGCTCCAGAGCAAACTAATGTATGCAGCAGCCAAATCGCTCGCTCATAAGTTTAATACCAGTAGCTCACAAAGGAGAATTTTTGCTCACAAGACTCCACGGCTTAGAGGGAGCATTGCCAAGGATTACCGGGGTCGTGACCAGTGTTCCCTCTAAGCTGAGTTAGTGTGAGCTAGCTCACAGTTTTTTAGCCTCTGGCTCACACATTTTTGTCTTAGCTCAGGAAGGATGGCTCCAGAGCAAACTGATTTATGCAGTAGCCAAATCACTCGCTCACAACTTTAATGCCAGTAGCTCACAAAGTAGAATTTTTGCTCACAAGACTCCACAGCTTAGAGGGAACATTGACACAGAGGTAGGCAATGGCAAACCACCTCCTGCCTTAAAAAACAAGTCTAGCTCACCACCGAGTGGTGCACAACGCTAAAAGAGCTAGACTCCTGGCTGCCAGGCAATTTTAGGATCTCCTGGCTAGACTATACGCACTGCCATACAATAATTATTATTATTAGCCTTTTCCCAAAAAGAGAGGAGCCAACGGCTTGGCTGTGCAGAGGATATTTGTGCACTGCGGTGATTTCTACTGCATACACCGGAAAGCCAGTTTCCTTTGCCCGCTGCAAAACACGCCATCCCCTTGCAGGCTACGGCTGTACCACTGGAAAATAAGATGACTTACACAGCAGGCCCCCTCCGACTGCCTGAAGCAACGTAAGGATCGGGAAGAAGTAGAGAGCGGCGTAGATGCTCTTAAACCGATCCGACTTCCCCAGCCCGCAAGCGATTTTCTTCACCAAGAGTGGCCGAAGCAGCATCATCAAGACTAGGCAGAAGGCGTAATATATAAACACAATGGTGTACCTGCAAGAAAAGGAAAAGGGGGTTGGGAAGTATCCGAGCACAAGACTGCAAGGCTGAAAGCTGCAAGCCGACGTCTTCGTATGGCCGACAGTCACAAGACAAGGGCCTGGGTGCCGCTACTCTGACATCCGCCAGTCCTGCCCCTGCTGTGGAGCACCAACCGACACCGTCTGCCTCACCAGCCTTTTCCTTGGGTACCTGCCAAAATCAGGTTACTGTCCCTGGAGAATTTACACCCTAAGGCACTGCAGTCTGTGCAATTTCCATCTCCCCTTCCTCCTAGACGTCTTTACACAGAAAGTGATTCCCAGTGTGGAATCCGCTGCCAGAGGATGTAGTGATGGCCACAGGCATAGACAGCTTTAAAAGAAGGGGGCTAAATAAATTCATGAGGGATAAGTCTATCAATGCCTACTAGCCATGGTGATTGAGGGGATATTCAGAGGCACTAATCCTCTGAATCCCAGAAGCCAGGAGGCAACATCGGGGGGAAAGGCCTCAGCCTCTCTGCCCTGTTGCTTGCCCTCTGAAGGACCTGGTTGGCCACTAGGTGTGACAACAGGATGCTGGCCTAGATGAACCGCAGGTCTGATCCAGCAGGGCTTGTCTTCTCTTCTCTCATTTCTGCAATTTGTGTGTTTGTGGGGGGAGATCTCTACCGTAACCCTACGCACTTCAACTTCTGAACTAATAGTTCAATCTTTAGGCATCAAGGAGCTATGCAGATGGTGTGAGAGTTTCTAGGGATTAAACACACGCCAAGCAAAGGTGCACCAGTTTTACAGCAACCACAGTGCCGTTCAGACAAATCTGGATCCCAGTGTGACGGCTTGCAGTCAATGCTCCCTCTAAGCTGTGGAGACTTGTGAGCAAAAATTCTACTTTGTGAGCTACTGGCATTAAAGATGTGAGTGAGCGATTTGCTGCTGCATAAATTAGTTTGCTCTGGAGCCATCCTTCCTGAGCTAAGGCAAAAATGTGTGAGCCGGAGACTAAAAAACTGTGAGCTAGCTCACTCTCACTTGGCTTAGAGGGAACACTGCTTGCATCAGTGTTCCCTCTAAGCTGAGTTAGTGTGAGCTAGCTCACAGTTTTTTAGTCTCCGGCTCACACATTTTTGCCTTAGCTCAGGAAGGATGGCTCCAGAGCAAACTAATTTATGCAGCAGCAAATCGCTCACTCACAACTTTAATGCCAGTAGCTCACAAAGTAGATTTTTTGCTCACAAGTCTCCACAGCTTAGAGGGAGCATTACTTGCAGTCCTATTGGGTCGGAAGCACCGGATGTATGAAGTAGGGGCTCCACATTGGGCGTGGCTCCCATAATATTTGCAAGCGGCCCACTGCAGTGAAGTGAAGAGGGCAAATCTTCCACCAAAGTGTTTTCCCATCTCCGATATCTTACCATGCTAGCAGTCCTGTGCAGTTCGGGAAGTGCCATTTAAAGAGAGGCTGAGAATGGCTTGAGATCCAAAGAAAACGAACCGCTTCGCTGGCTACCCAAATGGAATGTGCTGATTATCTACCGTTATTTGGCCAACAGGGCAGCCAGACTTACGTTGGGGTTCGCTTTTTTTTTTGGTAAATACAAGCACTTTAAACTTGAAAACACGAGCATCTGAAAACTCCCTGGGTCTGAGACGTTTCTCAGAAAGCTGGTGACAAATACTAGAGAGTGAATGGTAGAAGACGTTGAGGGGAAGAACTTTTAAGGACAGTGATTTATGAATACGTGAAGTTGCCTTACGCTGAATCAGACCCTTGGTCCTTCGAGGTCAGTACTGTCTCCAGGGTCTCTGGCAGAGGTCGCCTGCTGCTTGGGCCTTTCCCCCCTTTTTAAAATATATTTATTTCAGTTTTAAAATGCATTACATCATGCATATAAATTCTACGCATAAATATAACCATTACAGAGTTCCACAACATCTCGTTTAACTTATTACATCTTCTTAAACCATTTATAAAACTTTTCCCACCTATTAGAGAATATCGTTGTATCTTTGTATTGTAATAATGTGGTTAACTTGTCCATTTCAATCACTTCCTGTATTTTAAAGATTAAATCTTTTTTAAACGGTATCCCCCTGCTTGGGCCTTTTAACGGGAGATGCCGGGGACTGAACCTGGGACCTTCTGCATGCCAAGCAGAGGCTCTACCACTGAGACACGGCCCCTCCCCAACACAGGAAGCTGCCTTGTACTGGATCAGACCACTGAGGTCAGTCGAGGTCACTATCGTCTACTCAGACTGGCCGTGGCTCTTCAAGGTCTCAGGCAGAGGTCAAAAACAACATCAGTTTGGTGTAGTGGTTAAGTGCGTGGACTCTAATCTGGGAGAACCGGGTTTGATGATAGTGTGTTCGTGGAAAGATGGAAGCGTCTGTATGAATGGATTAATTCAATGTGAGGACTTAAGACTCCAATGTATCCAGGAATACCTATGTAAATGGATGTATATTTGATGGGAAAAAATGAAAATAAATATTGGAAAAGGGGGGGGGAGGCTCTTAAGGGTTTGAGAGCAACACACCTTCGGGACTGCCTCTCCTGGTACCCTCCTTGAAGAGCCTTGCACTCAAGCTGAAAAACACCTACTGGAGATCCCTGGCCCGAAAGATACCTGGCTGTCCTCAACCAGGGCCAGGGCTTTTTCCGCCCTGGCCCCAACCTGGTGGGACTCTCTGCCAAATGACATCCGTGCCTTGCGGGACCTCGTCCAGTTCTGCAGGGCTTGCAAGGCGGAGCCGTTCCACCAGGCTTATGGTTGCGGACAGCAACGGGTTTTAATCAGCCTGGCCTCTTCTTCCACCCATTTCCCCCCTTGGGGTAAGGACAAGTGACATTAGACGCCATCTGGATTGTTACTGTACATGTAACTGCATTTATATCTGTTTTTAATTAACACATTTGAAATTATATTTATATTAACTGTATTTCAAATTGTTGTACACCGTCCTGAGCCTCAAATATGGGGGAGGGTGGTCTCAAAATTTAATAATAATACTTTCCCAGTGAAGAAAGGTTAAAGCGCTTGGGGCTCTTTAGCTTGGAGAAACGATGGCTGAGGGGTGACATGATTGAGGTTTATAAGATTATGCATGGGATAGAGCAGGTCGAGAAAGAAGTACTTTTCTCCCTTTCTCACAATACAAGAACTCGTGGGCACTCCATGAAATTGCTGAGCGGTCGGGTTAGAACGGATAAAAGGAAGTACTTCTTCACCCAAAGAGTGATTAACACATGGAATTCACTGCCACAGGAGGTGGCGGCAGCTATAAGCATGAACAGCTTCAGGAGGGAATTGGATAAGCATATGGAGCAGAGGTCCTTCAGTGGCTATTAGCCACAAGGTATAGATAGGAACTCACAGGCTGGGGCAGGTGATGCACTGTATTCTCGGTGCTTGGGGGGGGCAATAGTGTCCTGGCCCCACTGCTGGACCTCCTGAGGGCACCTGGTATTTTTGGCCACTGTGTGACAGAGTGTTGGACTAGATGGGCCATTGGCCTGATCCAACATTGGCTTCTCCTATGTTCTAATAATAATAATAATTAAAAAACAATTATTGGGCTGCGGTGGCTCAGTGCTTAAGACACTGAACTACAGACCAGAAGGTTGGTAGTTCAGGAGTTCAAGACCTGAGTGTCTAGTCATGCTGGCCACATGACCATGGAAATGTCTTCGGACAGCGCTGGCTCTTCGGCTTGGAAGCGGAGATGAGCACAGCCCCCTAGAGTTGGATTCAACGGGCTTTTGAGCAATGGAAACATTATTATTATTATTATTATTAATAATAATAATAATAAAAGTAGCAAAGAGCCCCCTATAGAAACACAGAGCTGGAAAGGACCCTAAGGGTCATCTAGCCCACCCTTCCTGCACAATGCAGGACATTCACAGCAACATCCCCGCAGCCCTCCTCTGAGTGACCCCTGCTCTGTGCCCAGGTGAAGGCAAAAAAAAACCCTCCAGGATCCCTGGGCCAATCTGGCCTGGAGAACAATTCTGGGTCTGACTGACCACTGAGACACAAGCTAAGCTACAGTGGTGTTAAGTAATTCACACGGGAGCTAAACACCAGGAAGACCGGTCTGGGGATCACGATCAATGATTGGGTCATTCACAAAACCCACAATGCGTCACAGCCATAGCCGTCATGAGAGAGACCACAGGAGAGGGTGCAGAGACTCACAGAGGGTAAACGGCTTCATGGGTGCAGTGGATCGTGGTGACGTAGTCCGGGCTCGGGTTGTAAAGCATGGTGTACCAGTCGGACAGCATCTTCACCTTGCACGACCGGATCTGCAGCAAGCCCATGGGATCGCTCACGAGCAGCGTGACAATTGCCGCCACGCTGCATTCGATTAAAGCTGTGAGGTGCTGGAACAGGGCGCTGGAGCTGGAGGGAGGGAAGGAAAATCAGCTTTGCAAATAAAGCAAACTGTTTCTGAACTCCTAACCGCTTCTTTTGAATGCCCTGAGAATAACGGGGCTGGAGCCTACCGCCCTGCTTAGCCAATGTCAGCGCCTTCCTCTGGCACAAGAGGCTGATATTAGCTGTGCAAATCGGCAGAATATATAACCCATTATGCATGCAAACACGCTGGGTGACGGTTACGCCAAATTGCTAGAAAGCACTCACACACTCATTAAGGAACCGATTAAAGCAATTACACAATACCTCCCCTTCCAAAGCCTACTGATTCCCTTACTTTGATCCACACGTCCCTTCTGACATCACAGAAACCTTGCTTTGAACAAAAGCGAAATGATGTCAGGTAGCCCCGTCATAGATCTGGAATGTGGAGGGGTATCCGCCTTCTCGTTCTCAGCTCTTTCCTGCCCAGCTACTGTGTGCTATCTTACGCTCGACCTTGCAGGTGTTCCAGCAACTGCTTCTACGGCTGGGAAAGTTAACGGCTTTTCTGCTATGCTCGCTTGCTTTGCAGCGCGTGCGAACTATATCCATTGGCTTGTGCTTGGGGAGGGGGGGGGAATGTTTGATTTCACTATAAGTCAGAGGCCCTTATACTGAAGGCTATTCCTGACACAGTCTGTACACGTGTTCTTTAGTACTGGAACCACTAACAAACAGTTATCTTCTTATGAAGCCCTGTGTGGTGTGACCTGACTGAGAAGCCTGACAAATGTTCAAGCCCCATTTTGCCAAGGACGTAGAGGAAAACCATTAAGGGGAAGGAACACCTTCTTTATGAAAAAAGGTTGAGGAGGTCAGGCATCTTTAGCTTGGAGAAACCACTGAGAAACGACAACATGATAGAACAAAATTATGCATGGCATAGAGAAGGTAGGGAGAGAAGTACTTTTCTTCCTTTCTCACAATACAGTAGCTCATGGGCACTCAATGAAATTAATGAGCAGTAGGCTTAGAACAGATCAAAGGAAGTACTTCTTCACCCAAAGTGCCGCAGGAAGTGGCGGCGGATACAAGCATACGCAGCTTCAAGAGGGGATTGCATAAACATATGGTCCATGGGTGGCTATTAGCCACAAGGTATAGATGGAGCACTCTGTCTGGGGCAAGTGACGCTTTGTCTTCTTGGTGCTTGGGGGGGGCAACAGTGGAAGGGCTTCTGGAGTTCTGGCCCTCCTGGTGGACCTCCTGATGGCCCATGGGTTTGGGCTACTGGCCTGATCCCACGTGGCTTCCCTTCTGTTCCAACCAGACTTTGTTTCTAGAAATTAGTGCGGTTTGCATTTTAGAAAGGAGGATGGGAGCAGGGGGCAACCAAAGAACCAAGCCCCCGCCCCCAAGGCAAAGATAAATAAATAAATTACGTTTAGTCTCTCATCAGAGGGAAACAGGATTTGACTTTAATCAGCGCTTGCCTTTTTTTGCCTGAATACCACTCAATGAAGAACCAATGCAAAATCAAAGGAAGCATCGCCATAAAGCCGAGATAAAGCCAGTCGTAGCGTTCTGGCGATCCCTCGCACGGCCGGCAGATTTTGTGGTCATCTGTTCTTTGTCCTCTGGGACACACCTAAAGGGAATCACCAGAGATCATTTTATACAAAATGCTTTACTTAAACGCATGTTTTCTAGAGGACAGAAACATCGGGAAATATTTCTTTCTAAAAAGTGGAAACTTAGCACAGCACACGATATATTCATGCCACCCTTTCTCCTGCTCTGTACCATCTATTGCAGGAGTGTCGAACTTATTTGTTATGAGGGCCGGATCTGACATAAATGAGACCTTTTGGGGCCGGGCCACGTGTGTCATAAAATGTAATGCCAGGTAGTGGAGACATAAACTTTATAAAGGACACAAACACAAAGGGTTTTTGTTTTACTTAAAATAAATCATGCTTAAAACATTAGCACTCTTGCAATATTGTGTTTATTTAATAGCCTGATAACTGACACCTCTTGCTCTGAATTAGTGCATCAAAATGTCTGTGCTGTTGCAATCTCGAGTATGCTGTAAGCTGCAAAACTATGATGACGCAACAACAGCAGAACTGGAAGAAGCATGAGACAGCCAGTTCCACTGCGGGCCTGATAGAAGCCCTCCGGGAGCCTTATCTGGCCCCCGGGCCGCATGTTTGACACCCCTGATATATTGCAAAGCTAAACCTGCTCTAAGTTAACAGTGTGGGCTCCTTAAAATTGCAAACGCTGTCACTGCTGATAGATCACAGGCTAGCACAAACGGCTTTCTCTCCATTGTGGGGTGCGTTGCTGCATCATAACAAGCATATGGAACCAACAACCTGAAGAGATGGAAGTGGGAGAGAAGCAACCCCTCCTGCCCTTCCCCGTAGCTGGGACTTGGACGGCCAGCCTTACAGAGGCGGCTACTTGAGGCCTAGATATCATTTTGAAAATTGCCTAGGAGAAAAAGAATACCAATCGAATACTTTCATTTCCCTTATAAGATGTGTTTGTGATTTGAGAAGCAACGTCCCAAGAAAGAGAAGAGCAGGACGAGAAGATGGTACTGAGCAAAGAAATAAAAGCACCTATTTTTAGTTTACCACTCTAGTTTTAATTGCATATTTTATTTGTATATTTATTGTTTTATCTCTGTTGTGAGCTGCTCTGAGCCCATCATGGGATAGGGCACGATATAAGCACAATTATTATTATTATTATTATTAATAATAATAATAATAATAACAACAACAACAACAACAATAATAGCAGCTCTTTTTTGGTATTTTTTGTGTGTGAGAGTGTGTGCGCGCCTGGAAGTCATGGTGACCTCTGGTGAGTGACCCCTACTGGGGGCCTGGAGGATATTCAGAGAGGGGGCTGGATAGGGCCTGCCCCCACCTCTCGCCTCTGGTATTCCAAGGAGGTCTCCCATCTAAGTACTCACCAGAGTTGACCCTGCTTAACTTTCTTGATCTGATGAGATCAAGCTTGCCTGGGCCACTCTCATACTTTTAAGGCACCCATACTCTGAGGTCTTTAGGATGCAGGAGGACTCTAGGTTTGAGTAAACTGCTGTAGTTTATTCACAGAACACTATACGGAATGAATATCAGACAAATTATCATTCACTTGTAGCAGAGCACGGTTTGGTGCTATGAGAACGGGTCCACAGAATCCTCATTCCCCCCTCACCTCAAAATTAAATACTTATACACCGCAAACTATAGTACATTAGTCTGAGCAAACTACAAGCTGCAGTTGATTATCTGCCCACCACAGCAAAACTAAATTAAATGCTACCTGCAAAGCATGCCAAAAGATATGCTTTTTAAAAAACATATCCTCACACGCAGGAGACATCAATTCCTAATCCACCGCAAATGTCCCTGGTTGGTCCTGCAAGGGAAGTTTCCCGCAGATCTCTGTACAGAGCCCATGGGATTCGTCTCAGGCCAAAATCTTACCCTGGGTCCACTGCAAATGTTGAAGAGGCTTTCGGAACCCTGTACTTACCCCACAATCTCCAGGATGTTCAGTCCCATTGACAATTGCTACTGTCCTCCCACAATAAAGTCCAAAGCAGGCTTGCTGAATGGCTACAGCTTTCACAAGAGACAAAAAAGAGACCAGAACTAAAGTTACCTGTAGGTGCAGAGGAACAGCCGTTTAAACATTTAGTACTGAGGACATCTTCTGGGCGTGGAACAAGAGTTATTGTGGGTGTGGAGGGGTTGGTATTTGTGAATTTCCTGCCTTGTGCAGGGGGTTAGACTAGATGACCCTGGAGGACCCTTCCAATTCTGGCTTGAGGTGCACCCAAAGCCTCTGCCCACCAGTGCCTGCCATTCCTCATGAGGCTGGTGCAAAGATGTTACTACTGGAGAAGCACTGCAGATCAGCACATGAACCCGTGGCTTATCCTGAATCAGGCAGGGACAAAACGAGCAAAAAACTTAACCTTAACACTAAAATTCAGAACCTAACAAAGGTTAGTAAAATGTGAAAAAGAGGGCCAATATTAAAAACTAAATGTAAAAGATATATAGAAAAAGCTACATGTATTTATTAAGGACAAATTTTAAACATATACAAGGGCCCATTCACATCAAATAACATACCAACACACACGGGCTTTAAAAACCTGACCTGACGCAGTACCTCCACACCATCCACTACCTGATCCTTTTTTATGCTGGAGATGCCAGGAATTGAACTTGGGACCTTCTGCATGCCAAGCAGAGGCTCTTCCACTGAGCCATACTCCCCCCCCCAACCACACACACATGTTGCTACTGAACCTAGCTGGAACAAACTGGGCAATAGGGCCGGTATTCTTTCCTCCCCCTCCCCAAACCCCCATCACATTCTTCCTAGCACAGAGTTGCCACCACTGTGTGAGCCAGTTTGGTGTAGTGGTTAACTGCGCAGACTCTATTCTGGGAGAACCGGGTAGCAAGAGATCTCCAGCCCCCACCTGGAGATGGGCACGCCTATTCCGGGAGATCTCCCGCGCCCGCCTGGAGACTGGCAACCCGATGCGCTATAGGAAAGGAAACGGCCCAACGGCTCATTGGAAAAGATGCAGCCCGACGACGACCAGACTCGCTCCTAACACAAACGAGCCTCCGATATGCGAGCGAGGCCGTTAGCCAAACTCACCCATCCTCCTCCACCAGTTAACAAGGCAATCATCCGGGTCCTTTCACTGCCCCGAAACAGACGCTTGCTATATGCGTCACTTCCGTTCAGTTTCACCCACTGTTCGTTGATTGGTCGGTTCGCTGAGGTGTGTTTTTTTAACTGTACTAAAGAAGTTGGCTGCGACTTGACGGCACTCAGTGATACCATTAATGTGAAAGCGCCTTCCTTTTATTCATTGATTCCACTTCTTCACGCGAAGAGGGCGTGTTCTGTTCGACCGAAGTACGTTCGCCATTGGAGGAGGGGCTGAGGGACCCGAATCCTACTGGGCGAGACTCGAGTACGAAAGGAGGAGGCGTGGTTTTCCGTCACGGCCTCTCGCCGTACTTGTCATTTTTTATTTCGCAGCACAGAGGTTAGAAAAGCTTGGCATGCAGCCCAAACTTCCGGTACCCGTCGGCATCCTTTCGCCCGCGCTCTTCACGGACAAGGAATCCATTGGCCCGCGAGTATCCCTTTGCATTGGCAATCAGGAGTCTCCAAAAGGCCCGGCTGCGTGGAAGCGGATAAGTCTCGCCCTCCAGTCTATTCGCGCTCTGCCACTCAAACGAGCGAGGAAACCCTCGGCCGTGAACCGGAAGCGTCGTGCAGAATCGCAATCGCGTCCGTCTCTAAGCGAGGCGACCCATTTCCCCCCTCCCACCCGCCACCTTCCTCACGCGCCTCGCCGACCAATCGCGTCTGGGGAACGCCCACTCGTCTGGCCAATCGGCGTCCAGCAACCCGTCGACGGACCGTTTAGGGAAGAACCGTTGGCGGGGGGACCGTTAGAGGCTGACCTGGCCCGAGTCCCTCTAGACGGGTAGAACCCCGGACTGCCCCCTCCTCTGTTTCTGGAGTCTGACTCTCTCGCTCTCCTCCCTGGGCCATCTTGGCTGCTAGCCAGGGTCGCCAACTCTGGGTTGGGGAAATACTTGGATATTTGGGGGTGGGGCCTAAGGGGGGCGGGGTTTGTGGGGGCAGAATACCATAGAGTCCGGCTTCCGAAGCGGCCATTTATCCCCCAGGTGAACTGATCTCTATCACCTGGAGATAGCGGGAGATCTCCAGGCACCGCCTGGAGTTCGGAGCACTCTTTTTGCTATACAGCCAGCTGGAGCTTGGCCACCCGAGCATGGCCGCGAGCGGCGGCGGGCCGGGCGCTGATTGGCTGCCCCCGCGCTCGCCGGGCGGCCCGGTGGTGCGCACGGTGGAGATGCACGCGGGCGGGGAGCCGCTGCGGGTGGTGCTGCCGGGCGGCCTGCCCGGGCTGGAGCCTCCGGGCGGCGGCGAATTGCCGCTCCTGGCGCTGCGGCGCCGCCTCTTGACCTCGCCCGAGCTGGACGCCCTGCGGCGGCTGCTGATGCACGAGCCCCGCGGGCACCGCGACATGTACGGGGCGCTGCTGGTGCGCGGCGGCCAGGAGGAGGAGGAGGACGCCGGAGCCCTCTTCGTCCACAACGAGGGCGCCAGCTCCATGTGCGGCCACGCCGTCCTCTGCCTGGCCCGCCTCGCCCTCGACTACGGCCTCCGCCGGCCTCCGCCCGCCGCCGCCGAGGAGGAGGAGGTCCCGGTCACCATCCGCTGCCCCTGCGGGCCCGTCGTCGCCTTCGCCTCCTGGGACGGGCAGCGCAGCGGCAGCCGCGTCCGCTTCCACAGCGTGCCCGCCTTCGCCGACGCCACAGGTAGGGCGCCCTCTTCCGCCCGTGTGGAGTCCTGGGAGCAGAAATCCTACTTTGCGATCGACCGGCATTGAAAGTGGTGAGCCAGAGATGTGGCCGCTGCATGATTTAGTTACTGGGTGTAGTACATAAGAAGCTGGAGACCAACTGGTGATGAAGGTGCATAGAAAGTTTATATATATATATATAAACTGTATGATAGACTATATATATATATATATATAGTCTATCATACAGCATACCATGAGAGCTTGAGAGACTAAGTCCCCACTCAGTTTATCAAGCTGATAGCTAATATACTAAACCCAGCCAATCACTAACAAGGTGAATTAATTACCGACTCTAACAATGCCTGATAGAGAACACCTGCTAGTGTAACACTTGGCTGTAATCACTTAATCACTAGCATGATAGCTAGGACTGTCAAACAGATCAAACTGATCTAGTAACTGCTTGCTACCTTTATCACCTAGACACATATCTCAATATTAGTTTGCTGGGGAGCCGTCCTTCCTGGGCTAAGGCGAAAACGTGCGAGCTGGAGGCTAAAAAAACTGTAAGCTGGCTCACACTAACTCAACTTAGAGGGAACACTGGTAGGGACCAATGCTCCCTCTAAGCTGTGGAGTTTTGCGAGCAAAAATTCTACTTGGTGAGCTCCTGGCATTAAAGTTGTGAGCAGGTGATTTGGCTACTGCATAAATTAGTTTGCTCTGGAGCCCTCCTTCCCGAGCTAAGACGAAAATGTGCGAGCCGGAGGCTAAAAAAAACTGTGAGCTGGCTCACACTAGCTCAGCTTAGAGGGAACACTGGTAGGGACTGGGCTGGACCCCTTCCTAAGAGCCCCTGTGAGGGAGACTGGGGGATAAGAACATAAGAGATGCCAATGTTGGATCAGGCCAAAGGCCCATCCAGTCCAACACTCTGTGTCACACAGTGGCCAGAAATAACAGTGCCATCAGGAGGTCCACCAGTGGTATAATATCCTTTTTAAGGTGTGGTGCCCAGAACTGCACACAGTATTCCAAATGAGGTCTCACCATTGATTTATATAGGGGCATTATTATATTGGCTGATCTGTTTTCAATACCCTTCCTAATAATCCCCAGCATAGCATTGGCCTTCTTTATTGCAGTCACACACTGTCTCGACATTTTCAGTGAGTTATCCACTACAACTCCAAGATCTCTCTCTTGCTCAGTCTCTGCCAGTTCAGACCCCATCAATGTGTATTTATATTTAGGATTTTTGGCTCCAATGTGCATCACCTTGCACTTGGCCACATTGAACCCCATTTGCCATGTTGACGCCCACTCGCCCATCCTTGACAGATCCCCTTGGAGTGCCTCACAATCCTCACTGGTTTTCACCACCCTGAACAACTTTGTATCATCCGCAAATTTAGCCACTTCACTGCTTACTCCCATCTCCAAATCATTAATGAACAAGTTAAAAAGCAGTGGACCAAGTACTGATCCCTGCGGTACCCCACTGCTTACCACCCTCCACTGAGAAAATTGCCCACCTACACTCACTCTCTGTTTTCTATGAACTAGCCAGTTTTTGATCCATAAAAGGACTTGTCCTTCTATCCCATGATTTTTGAGCTTACTTAGGAGCCTTTGATGAGGAACTTTATCAAAAGCTTTCTGGAAGTCAAGGTAAATAATATCTATTGGATCCCCCTTGTCCACATGTTTGTTCACCCCCTCAAAGAACACTAACAGGTTAGTGAGACAAGATCTTCCCTTACAGAAACCGTGCTGAGTCTGCCTCAATAGGTTTTGTTCATCTATGTGCCTACTAATTCTTTCCTTAATAATGGTTTCCACCAATTTACCCGGTATCGACGTCAGACTGACTGGCCTGTAATTTCCCGGATCTCCTCTGGAACCCTTTTTAAAGATGGGAGTGACATTAGCTACCTTCCAATCCTCAGGAATGGAGGCAGATTTTAAGGAAAGATTACATATCTTTGTCAGGAGATCTACAAGTTCACATTTGAGTTCTTTCAGAACTCTCGGATGTATGCCATCTGGGCCTGGTGATTTTTCAGTTTTTAAGTTGTCTATCAGTTTTAGGACCTCCTCTCTCGTCACCTCAATCTGACTCAGGTCTTTCAACACCCCTCCTGAAATCAGTGGTTCTGGAGTGGGCAAGCACTTCTCATCTTCCACAGTGAAGACGGAGGCAAAAAATGCATTTAGCTTCTCAGCCATTTCCCTATCATCCTTCAATACTCCTTTTACCCCTTGGTCGTCCAAGGGCCCCACTGCCTCCCTGGCTGGTTTCCTGTTTCTAATGTATTTGAAGAAAGTTTTATTGTTGGTTTTTACGTTTTTTGCTATATGCTCCTCATATTCCCTTTTTGCCTGCCTGACCTCAGACTTGCATTTTATTTGCCATAGCCTGTGTTCCGTTTTATCAGCCTCACTGTGACTAGCTTTCCACTGCTTAAAGGAATTCTTTTTACTTTTTACAGCCTCCATTACTCTGTTTGTTAACCATGCAGGCTTTTTCCTATACCTGTTTGTGCCTTTCCTAACCTGCGGAATATATATTTTTTGAGCTTCTAGGATCGTAGTTTTAAATAGATCCCAAGCTTCCCCAATTGTTTTGACCCTTTCTACTTTTCCTTTCAGTTTCCTCCCCACGTGTCCCCTCATATCAGAGAAATTACCCCTTTTAAAGTTAAAAATGGTTGTGTGAGTCTTTTTGGCCAATTCTCTATTTGTACAAATGATGAACTCAACAACATTATGATCACTGTTTCCAAGCGGTGCAATCACTTTTACATCTCTCACCAGGTCTTGAGTGTTACTTAGGACCAAATCAAGGATCGCCTCTCCCCTGGTAGGTTCCGTGACCATCTGCTCCATAGCACAGTCATTTAGAGTGTCTAGAAACTCAATCTCTTTTTCCCGGCTAGAACACATATTGACCCAATCAATGTGTGGGTAGTTAAAATCACCTATTATTACACAGTGTTTTTGTCTAGTTGCTATCTTTAAGGCATTCATCATTTTATAATCCTCCTCTATCTTTTGATCTGGTGGGCGATAACAAACTCCCAGTGTTAAGTTTCCTTTTGGCCCCCCTATTTCAACCCATAGAACTTCCAGAAGCGAATCCAATTCACTTAGCCTCTCAATCTTTCTAGACTTTATACCCTCTCTGACATACAGAGCTACCCCACCTCCAACCCTTCCCCCCCTATCCTTCCGATATAATATATAACCGGGAATCACTGTGTCCCACTGATTTTCCTCATCCCACCAAGTTTCAGAAATACCCACAATGTCTATTTTTCCCTCCGACACCAAGCACTCCAACTCCCCGATTTTACCTCGGACACTTCTAGCATTTGTATAGAAACAGCTGTAATTTCCCTTACAAGTTAAGCCTGCATCCTTCCTCTTGCTATCTCGAGTCGTTGTCCGGCAGTCCATGTCACCAGCCATGGCCTCTGTGGACAATTTCAATCCACCTCCCTGTAGAAAAGCAACCGGTACCCCCTCACCTCTCTCAGATGAGCCAACCCGAACCAGAGACTTTTCATCTCCTGTCGGCTTTCCCCCAATATTCAGTTTAAAAGCTGCTCTGCCACCTTTTTGATTTTAAGTGCCAGCAGCCTGGTTCCTTCTCGGGACAAGTGGAGACCGTCTCGCCTGTACAGCTCCCTCTTGTTCCAAAAAGTATCCCAGTGCCTAACAAACCTGAACCCTTCCCCCCTACACCATCGTCTCATCCACGCATTGAGACTCCTGATCTCTGCCTGTCTCTCCGGCCCTGCGCGTGGAACAGGTAACACTTCTGAGAAGGCTACCTTGGAGGTCCTGGACCTAAGTTTCCTGCCCAGCATCCTAAATTTCTCCTCCAGGACCTCACGACTGCATTTCCCCACATCGTTGGTGCCGACATGCACCACGACCACTGGCTCCTCCCCAGCACTATCTACCAGCCTATCTAAAACACGCGTAATGTCCGCTACCTTCGCACCAGGCAGGCAAGTCACCATACGGTCAGTACGCGGGTTCGCCACCCAGCTGTCTACCTGCCTAAGGATCGAATCACCCACTACCAAGAGCCCCCCTCCCACCCTGCTCAGGGATGGTTCCTTGGTGCAAAAGGAGAGCCGCTCACCAGCTGGGGAAGAGGTCCCTTCTGAGGGCACATTCCCCTTATCCTCAGCATGGTGCCCTGTTTCCCCTAGACCCTCATGCTCCCTGACAGCAGCGGGGCTGCCAGATCCAGAGTGGGACGAAGCTAACAAGTCCCCGAGAGTCTTTTCTGTGTGCCTAGCTGACTGTATCTGCTTCTCCAGGTCAGCCACCTTGGCCTCAAGGGAGCACACACGTTCCCTGAGAACCAGGAGCTCCTTGCACCGAGGACACACCCAAGACTTCTGCCCAGTGGGCAGATAGTCATACATGTGACACTCCGTGCAAAACACTGGATAGCCCCCAACCCCCTTCTGGCATTCTGGCTTCATAATTCTTTTAAAATAAATAAATAATAAATATAATTTAAACCCTTGGTATTTATGTGGTTTTTGTTATCAAAGTCAAATTATTTTACGGGAAAGACAAAGAGCCTAGGGCCTTGTCTTTCTGGCTCTTTTTGGGCTTCTTACAGAGCCCCTAGTCTAAGAGCCACAGGCAAAGAGCCCTCGTGCCTCTGGCAAGGTGCTTCCTTAAATAGAGGCCTCCCCCAGCAGAGGTCAGTCAGCAGCTATTCCTCTATTCAAATTCACCCAGGCACTCAGTCACAGGCAAAAGCAAAACAATGCCCCTTCCACTTCCTCTCAATTACAGGCAATCCCAGTCAAACAATGCCCGTTCCTCTCCCACACTCAATCAGCCAGGACTCTGCAAGAACTAAGTGCTTCCACACACTGCTGAACACAGTTTTCCCACAAAATATCCTTAGCTGAATTCTCTCAGCTGAAAGGGGTGCTGAGAGGGGTGCTGTTAAATACTGGCTTGTAGACAAATTGCAGTGAT